CCTATCCTATCCTATCCTATCCTATTCTATCCTATTCTATTCTATTCCATTCTATTCTATTCCTTGAACATTGTGATGCACTAAAACAAGTTTTTTGTTTCTGTTTTTGAAAACAAAACTAGTCGCAAGCGAGTCTGCTTGGTGGGAATCCGCCTTTATATTTGAAAAAGGCTACTTTGGAGAGGAAAAAATTGATGAACAAACAAATATATACTGATAAAAATGAGAATTCACCTTATTTTATTTAATTACGTAATTTATTTACGTAAGTTCCGATGAGTTTGCTGATTTTGAATTGAAATTTGTATTTCAGGGTCTGACGAAGACATGATTCAGAGTGAAAATAGGTACAGTGGCTACTCTGGAGAAGCCGATACAAGGTAAAACATTTATTACTAATTCATTTCTATCATTGATACCATGATCCAAATTATTGAAAGCCAACATTCCTGCATGCATTACACTTCTTATTTTTGATTCCTACATGGATATTTCGGTTGATTCTGGTATTATAATTATGATGATTTTCATTGTATGTTATTTTTCTGCTCCAGTAGTTCGGAGATAGATGGTGATGCATCTTATATATCAGTACCATTGTTTGATAGTACACGTAGTCTTTTAATGACATCCATTTCAATTCTCTCAACATGTTGACTATTGGCGTGTCTCTTGGTACACCCAGTATGATTCTCATGGCTCTATTTTTTTGCTTTTGAAGTCGATCCAACTCGTTTTTATTATCCGTAAATAGTATTGAAAAATAAAAAGTAAGATGTGGTGAAACTAATGTATTATAAATTGTATTTTCGACCATCTAGATAGGGTAGAAAATTGACCTTATTGGTGATAGTTTTTTTTTTATCACTTCCAATACATTTTCTTTGAATGTTAGTCCTTGGTCAATCAATGCTCCCCAATACTTCACCACTGTTACACTTTCAGTATCATCATTAGCAATCTTTATACTGATTCCTCTATGTTTGATTTCCTCATATCCTGTTTTATTACCCAGTAAGAGATATTTTGTCTTTTCACCATTCAGTTTAAAATTGTTGAGATATCACCATCGACTAACTCTGCAAAGCTCACTATTTAGAGTATCGAACAGCTCATTAACGTTACAGAAACAGTAGTATATTGAGTTGTCATCTGCATAGGAAAAAACGTCGTATGGACGTATGTCCTAAACGCCTNCTGTACATCAAGGAGGTTGCGTTAATTGCCATGTTACGATTGCGTACAGCTGACGTAAACCTCGAAGTAGGAATGGGTCAATTTAGTCTGAGCCTATGGCGAGAAGCACTTACTGCGCAACTTCTGCTGTAGGCGGCCAGTGATGCAATTGAACCCAGGTTTGTGTTTAATAAACCCTACACAATATAAATAAAACAGAACATAGAGTCAGATGCACTACGCATATATACAGACGGATCAAAAACCAAAGAAGGCTCAGGATGTGGAGTGTACTTCAGATCACTAAGCCTAAGTATTAAGTGGGAATGGGAAAAAATACCAGCGTGGTTCAGACAGAACTGGCTGGTATCTCAATCGTCACAAAAGAAATAGCCAGGAAAGAAATTTCTGGCAAAAACATAACAATCTGCACTGATAGCAGACAAGCCCTATTAGCCTTGAACAGACAACGTGTTACCTCAGAGCTAGTACTAGAGTGCCAGCGAGACTCAGCCAAAGCCTCGGTAGATAATAACATTATCCTGAAGTGTGTTAAAGGGCACTACAGGGGTAAAGGTAATCGCATTGCCGACTTCTTAGCCAAGGAAGCGGCTGAACTAAGAATTTTAGAACCCAGTGGCACTCACGGCCTTATGACTGCGACAATTGCGGAACTAGCCAAATTTTACACCCATGTTCAATCCCTAAAGAGATGGGATGGAATCAAAGATTGTAATATTGCCAGGTTCACCTTGGGTGACCCTGGGAAGCTGGCGCCGAAGAAGTATCTGGCGATGACCAGGAAAAATCTACGCTTAACAATAGGATTTCTGACTAGCCACTGTCAACTAAGGAAACACCTCAATAATATGGGGCTAGTGGACCCATCTCTATGCAGGATGTGTGAACAGAAAGATAAAACTGTCAGGCCTATGCGAGTGTCCGAAGTTATCGTCAATAAGAGAGTGTGTGTTCGGCGAGTCTCGGCCTACACCTGCCGATATAAAGGAGATGTCTCCTAGTGAGCTGTCCACCTTCCTGAAAAGGACAGGATGGACGATAACCTAGAAGGACAACTCCTCGGGAGGATGTACAATGGGTCACATGTGGTCTAAGTGCTACTCTACAGATACAGACAGAAAGAAGTCGGCAGCCTCATTGCCATATAGTAACATGGTCTCTTTTTGGTGGGTTTTTGCCTTTGGGAAGTGTCTGGGTGGTTTATCGGTGTCCAACCACTGTCCTGAACGTCTCCTATTGTCGTAGAGGATCTGCGTTTCATCACACGCGACAACTCGATCCAAAAAAAGATTGTTTTGGTTGCGCAAAAGCAAAGAAGAACAGACTTCGGGACGTGACAATTTCTGTTGATCGTGGGGCCCCTTCTTTTCGAGCTTATTGACCTCTCCGATACGTTTAAAATCATCAAAAACCTCATAGGAGCTGACGCCCGGTTCTTTCGCCCTCCTACGTTTTTGACGGGTCAGTCTCCACCAGGATCCTTAACACTTTTGGAATAAGCAAAGTCAGTAATATTCATCACAGTGTGATTAACAATACATCGAGCAAAAATGTCGGACCTTCCACAACGAAGCCATAATGCAACCAGACTGCGGAATATTGGGAATCAATCCACAGCAGATACAAACATCGCGTCCTGTTCAGTGTTGTTAGTTCAACTTTTTTGCAGTAGATCAACTGTTTCGGCTCTAGAGCTACTGATGACTCGATTAATTTGCCATAATTCATTGTTGGTATGATGACTTCTGTAAAATTTGGTTTTGAATTTTTCCTTGGACTCTGTGAAGTACTAACTTCACATCAAATTTTTTCTTGGATTAGTAGGCTATGTCCGAAAGAAAACATGAATTCGGCCTTTTGCACGAAGAAAAGGTCTTAGTAGATTTTTCTTAGAATTTTTGAGAGTTCGCAGCTTTTGTTTTTTTTTTTCTAGGAGGTTACGAAGTTGGAGTTTTGAAAGAAAACTCGACTTTGTAAATAANAAAGGTTACACCCATGCTCAATCCCTAAAGAGATGGGATGAGATCAAAGGATGCAATCCTACCTGGATCACCCTTGGCGACCCTGGGAAGATGGCGTCGAAGAAACATCTGACGATGACCAAGAAAAATCTACGCTTAACAGTAGGATTTCTGACTGGCCATTGTCAACTAAGGAAACACCTCCATAGTATGGGGCAAGTGGACATACCTTTATACAGGATGTGTGAACAGGAAGATGAAACTGTCAGGCATGTCCTATGCGAGTGTCCGAAGTTATCGTCAATAAGAGAGTGTGTGTTCGGCGAGTCTTGGCCTACACCTGCTGATATACAGGAGATGTCTCCCAGAGACCTGTCCACCGTCCTGGAAAGGACAGGATGGACGATGACCTAGGAGGACAACTCCTACTTTAAAGATACAGAATTAATTGTTGTTATTATGATTTTCAATCTATATGCGCCACGTCCAATATCCTGGAAAACAATTCATCAAGCTTCAAAAACAAACAAACTGAGTAATTCCGAATGTTTTTCAGTTATCCTGACGTCATGAAACAAAGCCGGAAGAAAGATTGTCACGACGGATTCGAGAATATCGAAGAACCTTCTTCTGCAGTCGGCGGTTCATCCGTGACTCTTCCGTGGCCGGGCAGCAAGAGCGGCGACACTGGAGGTTGCAGTGTCGTTCGTCATGGACCTCCTTCCGATTGTACGTCAATGTCGGCAGATTCACCAGGATCTCGACAGTCGTCTGTAGTAACAACGCAACGGTCGACGGTATGTTATTTTTCATTAAGTAATAGTTTTAGTTAACAATATTTTACGCCACATCGAAATGATGGAGAGAGCCAAGTTAATGGTGCTATTATTGAAAGGAAATCTGGTTAGCTGATAAATTTCAAACCTCTACCTCTGCCGGTTTATTAATTTACGAGCATTCCAAAAGATTGAGTTCCAAACTCGCACCTTCCAAATATAACACGTCATAGTCGTCGTTTAACTCATGCCTCTATGACAAAAAACTGGAAAAACATACGACTAGTTTCTTGGATGTGAAAACCAACTTCACATCTGCCTTAATCGGATTCAGTATTTATTCTGGTCTTTGTATATTCCTTCCGTATGTTAATTTTTTGAAGTCATCTGAATAAGAAACAAAACCCATCCTATACTTCTAAGGAATTATAGAACCAACCACACGATGAATCTGTTATCAGCCAATCAGTGTCCTTTCAACATTTAGACTGAAGGCCAACTTCATTTGCAGCCACAACCGAATCAACCAACATCCCCTCAAATACAGGCGATGCAATTTATCGAACCAGCACAGTATGTTGCTGCAATCCCAGTTCAACCCCTGATGCCTAACTACCCAACCTCGGATGTTCTGTCTCCAATTCCGGTAAGTTACCATCATAAATTTCAACTGAATATGTATCACATAACATTTAAGGTACTATGGAAAAACATTGTTGACCGGATTACACAAAAGTCAGATCAANCACGACCCACCACAACGTCTAACATTTGGTTAATGGGCGCTGGCAAAGTTGGAGGAAGATACACATTTTTATCGAAAAATTGTGTTCAGCGACAAGGCTCATTTCTGGTCGAATGGATACGTTAACAAGCAAAATTGCCGCCTCTGGAGTTAGGACCAGCTACAAGCATCGCAAGAGCTACCGATGCATCCCAAAAAAGTCACTGTTTGGTGTTGATTATGGGTCAGTGGCATCATCGGGCCGTACTTCTTCAAAGACGACAATGGCCGGAACGTTACTGTGAATGACGAGCGCTCGCGTGTGATGATTGACGACTTTTTGTTTCTGAAAATGGAAGAATTAGACATGCTAGACATGCTTGACACGCGTGCCACACGACACGCGAAACTACGGCCCAATTGAGAGCCGCTTTTGGTGAACAGTTTATCTCACGTTTGGCGCCCGACAATTGGCCGCCTAGATCGTGTGATTTAACGCCTTTGGATTATTTCTTGTGGGGTTGCGTTGAGGCTCATGTCTACAGGGATAAACCAGCAACAACTGACACTCTGGAAGCCATTATTGAAGCATTTATACGTGAAATATCGGTCGATATGTTAGAGAGAGTGTGTCAAAATTGGACCTTGCGCATGGGCCATCTAAAGCGGAGCCGCAGACAATATTTGCATGAAATTATCTTCAAACATTAAATTATATTGATCGTTCTATCAATGCCAATAAAGATTTCATCAATTTTTCCAAAATTTTTGTGTTGTTTTGAAAATCAAATCCTATACTACTTAAAACATCACCCGTTATATCGAATCACCAGTATCTGTGACAGTGTGCAAAAGAATTTAATGGAGTATGGTCATCTTAAATGTTCATGAACTGATTTTCACCACAACCATAATATAGGAACACCATTCCAATATTTATTTTATCTACATACTCACCAAAAAAAAAGTAACCGTTCTAGATGAGATACTCATTCGTACATGCCTGATCTATTATATAAATGATTCATCGATATATTTCAGCAGGTAGACAATATGGTAATGTCTCCCGTTCAGTCACAGTTACAAGTTGATCTACAAAAGAAGCACGCTGAACTGCAAGCTATCATCGGTCAGCAACAGCAGGAATTGAGACGAGTGTCTGAACAACTTCTCATGGCTAGGTTGGGCTTACTGCCAGGTTCGCAAAATCAGCAAGTTGGAACAAATGTAAGTTATTATAGCTTAGGTCAAAAAGATCATCTTCCATCCGCTAGGAGTAGGTCAACACGCTCAGTAGATTCCAGAGGCGTGCCAAAAATTGCTAATTTCATTATCGAACCCTTGAAAATTCTACATGAGTTGAAAAGTATCTGGCCTAACACATAGATGGCGTTAGTCTTGTAGCTTTCACCGCTTTTTCAGTTAGTACTAACCTCAAAAAAAGTTTTTAAATTCCACGATATGAACGTTTCCTGCAAGTGGCAATGCTGGTGTTCCCCAGGGATCCATATTGTCTCCAACCATCTTTTTATTGTATATCAACGACAACGACAACGGAAAAAACCAATTGTCTCATCATTTCATTTGCATTACATGGCATCGACTGCAGATACACATCTTAACCTGCAGCAGGAGGTTCAATATCTTAATGAGGATCTAGAAGTAATTTCGAATTGGGTTGGAAGTAACCAAGTTCAATTCAATGCCACAAAAACCCAGGCATCGGTTTTCTTCAAAAAAATGAATGTTACCGAAGCGGATATAGTAATGTCAGGTTAGACAATTCCGCTTTCTGCTTCGATAAGTTTGTTGGGAGTTAAAATGGACACTAATATGTCTTGGCACAATCATGTCGCTGGCATTGCAAAGGCTGCTTCTC